ATAAGATTTTTGTTTGATTCAAACACTGGAAAACATCATTATGAAAATAAATGCATAATCATCCATTGTTTTCAGCTGCAAATATATAATTATTTTCACGTCCTTATAAATATATTATCATGTAGCACAACCCAGATGACCGTGGACTTTTGACGAGATGAAAGGCAGCGCTAGCGGCTAAGAAATCGCTACTGTTTGTGTGGGTTAATAACAAAACCCACAGCCCTGAAGTTCCAATGAGCAGAATAACACTCTGTGGGTCATGACATGGTGCATTGCTATCAAAAAGAGATTCTCACATTTTCTCTCTATTGTGTTTCCCGCCCCCTCTGGACAGTTGATACAGCAGAACCAATGACCATCACCTTCCCCATCAGACAAGGGTGCTTGTCCTCCCAGGTTTAGCTGCTGAGCTCCAGAATAAATTGTGATGTGTGGGCATAGGAGGCAAGGAACACTCAGGACCCACAGGGACGTCGGATGAGTACTGCTGGAGTAAGATGACTAATAGGTACTGTCTGAATTGTATAAACACCACATTTAACTCCATCACCGGTTTCAGCATCAAAAGCCACGGACCACCTGATCTTCAAAGCAGTGTTATGGAACCAAGTCCATAACACAGTCACCCAAGAGCTTCAGGAAGAGGGGCATCAGTTCAACCTTTTCCTTGAGACACAGCATGGCCAATGATAAGAACATCGGAAACGTGAGTCTTCCTCCATCGGAAATGTGAGTCTTCCTCCATCGGAAACGTGAGTCTTCCTCCATCGGAAATGTGAGTGGTATAAGTGTAATGAAACACAGCGTATCTATTCGAAAATGTTCAGAAGGCATTTTCATTCCTTAAGACCACTCTGGAGAGAACCCTCTAAGCACAAATGAAAGGTTTGAATTTTAGATCCCTGTGTATCTGAAGGGGCCAATTGCTCTTGTCATTGCAGAATCACACATAATTCTAGGAATCCATATCCTGTAACTTTGACTAATCTAACAGAGAAGTATGAAAAATGTTACCACCTAATGGTCATATTTGTTGTCCGAATCCATCAACAGATTTCTGACTTCCTAGCTAAGATCAATCTAATGCAGTGTTTTTCCCAACCTAGTCATCGGGGACACCCCAGACCAGGGTTTGGGAAGCACTGATCTAGCGCAGTCTAATTTGATAGCTTACAATGCGCAAACCTTTCTTTTCCTACATCCTAATTTCTACTATTATTCAACTATGCAAGTAAACTACTGCCTTCAAGTCACACGATCACACAGTCAGCAGGTCAGGGTCATTCATCCAGGGGGAACTGAGCTTACACTACAGCCCCCACTACATACAGACATCATCCATCCAGCAATTCCGGGTTTAAGGCACACGGTCGTGAGGGTAATAAATCACGGCGGTGACACTGAGCTGTCATAAAGGGCAGCTGAGAGCGTGTTTTCACAAAGGTGCACAGAATGTACTTGGTGCTACAGTGAAGGGAAACTCTCTCCCAGCACCACTGTGTGGAATACTGCACCAGGAGGGGAAAACCAAGTCTCCGCTTGCATTTTTGCTCCACTGCCATGGGCCAGATCTGGGGCGCTCCGTTTTACTGTATGACTACATGCGCAATTTATATCTATCTCTCCTACAATCTCAAACTCATTTGGAAAGGTTTCCACTCTTTGTCAAGTCAGGGCACTAGAGTTTGGGGGAGACTAGATAGGCAATTAATATTCTCTGCCCTAATGGCCACAATGTGAAGAAAAAGCCCACTTCTTGGTGGAGTCCACCCAGCACAGTAGAGTTGGGGGGGGTCACAGGAGAAGGTGATAAGAACTTAGGTATGTGTTTGAAGAAATATTAAAGACAGGGGTTATAGCAACGGAGGGAAATGTGAAATTCTAAACATGGTCATCTTGCAAAAACCTCTGATCTTCATTCTCCATACTACAGGCAGCCTCATGATTCTTGTCCACAACTGAGCAGAAAGGAAGGTTCAGGTCACTCAGTTTTGACAACAAAGAGCACTTTTGCTAGGCTAACTGATCGGCTCTCTTGAACGTCTTGCTACTGAAGTAAAAAGGTTATTTGGGTATGGCTGAAAATAATAAGCAATTATGTGTCATTTTCCTGATCCTGAAGTCCCTTCAACACGAATTAAGAAACCCCTTACTTTGTGCATCTCATCAGAATGTTAATCTGCTACCAGCTCAATTAATTGAGGCCTTGCATCTTAACATGCCACTGATGGGCTGAGAAGAATGAATTCTGCCTTCCCTGGTCTTTTCATTCAGCCCTATGGCAACTAAAACCATTCATCATCACAAACTCATGGTAACAAAGTAAATCATCTAGTCATCGTTTCCCTACTTTTTTCTCTTGGTCTGTATAGCAGAATAACAACGCACATTTAACAGGATTCCCACTCCTAATCCTTGGAGGACACCAACAAACGTATTAAATGCATTCAGGGTTCAAGATGCATTAAACATTTGAATCACAAGAATATTGTTTAAGGCCTGAATAGTCTGAACAGGTTGTAATGCATTTGTGTGTATTTGTCATATTTAGGTATCTCTCTTCCAACCTACGAACTAAACTGTCAAATAGTGTCACTTTGTCCATGTTTCTGTAATTGATGATCTATGGCGAATTGAATACAGAACTGAATTTGGACTGAATTTGCAGGGGTCTTCAAAAAAAGGCAAATTTGTTGAAAAAAATTAAATTATATATAACAATATTTCAATACAGTACAAACAATTTCCACAGAATTCTATTGAATTTTGGTCCCAAGGTCTAAAACGCTCAACCACTAGAAACCCTGTAGTTTAAATCATGATTGTGGTTGGGGTTATTCAATCAGCATCTGTTGTAGCAATTCCAAAAAGTGAGGTCGCCACGGTCTCTCCACAATAGTAAATGCACCCTAAAATACTGTCTTTTTCAAGCAAGCTAGGAACTTGTGTGACTTGTTACAGTGAGTCTAAAAGCTTGGTGATAAATATGACATATGAACTAAGTTGACAAAATACACCTCAGAAATAATCTCCTGGCGTTCTCAGTCCAGTGACTGATCGGCTGCCGCAAGATGCATCATGCTGTTCCACAGCCTCTCAGCTCAGCTAAAATGTATGTTATATTACACAATATATTATTTAACAGTATATATACTGTATATTACATTGCTGCTGTTGGGTAACACAGAACATTATAATAACGTACTTAAACTCAGACTGAAGTTTTTGATAACTGGCACTGGTGATTAAACCAGGTTTACTGAAATGGCATTAATTGGCCTAAGGAGGTGACATCTAAATTTCTGAATGATTTCAAATTCAAATTAATGGGATAACAGTAAACCTTTATTTTTCAGACATTTTTTGCAGCTTAGAAACCAGAAATCCCAAGAGGCCAAATGTGTGCAGTGACAGTTAGAAGGGCAGTTACAGCGTCAGCCGGTGACGATAATTCCCTGCGTCACATGACTGCACCGACAATGACATCATAATGTCACCTTTTGCTATGTGCAATTCCACTGGCAATGAGTATCAGTCTAGATTTAAGTTTTAATTTTTTCATTTATTTATTAAACACATCAAAGTAAATAAGCATGCAGTTGGATTTAATAAATATCTTGGGAGTTCGTTATAATAAGGAGCAATTAAAATATATCTCCATGTCTAACAGAATGTCATGTAACATCAATCGTCCACCTTCCGCTTGAAAAAATTGTGCTTACGTTTTCACGGACATCTGCTCAGGTTTTCAAGCAATTTCATCCAAAAATCTATAATTAACTTATATAATGTTGCTTACTGGCTGTGACCAAATGAATGGCGCTTTAAATAGCACGCTTTCCTCTGCAGTCTCGGGTCTCCCCCGTCCTTTATCACCAAATGCCACTTGATTGAACGAGATCATTCTTTCAGATGATAGTGTCGGCTTTAACACAACAGGCAGCAGCTATGAAAAACATATCTGTTTTACGAAAAAGAAATTTAAAATAATAACACAAGGCGTTTATATGCATTAGACATCTTCATTAGTAAAACCCCGGGCATTTCACAATCAACAGCTATAGAAAAGTTAATGAACCGGAAAACACGAAAATGAAAAATATAGTCGCGAGAATAACAATGATATTCAAAGCGTACCCGACAACAAAAACTATAAAATCTACACACCGCCGTATATAAGCACATACACATATATGTCTACTGATCATAATATTATCATTAATGATACTAATAATAATAATAACTACGCTGTGGTTATTATTTTTTATAAAAATAACGTATGCTTGATTATGTATGAGCATATCTATGTATTTATGGGTATGTTACCACATGTATCACACGCGAAGGAATTTGTTTGCAAACCTCCCTGCAAAATATGCAGCGGATTGAAAATATTCGTCAGGACAATTTACGTGGACACAGACAAAGCAGTGTAATTGCGCACATCTGAGCTCTTCTGTAAATCTCAAACCATGAGCACTTCTCATATTTAGGCTACAAATAACACAGAACCAAACTGTTCTGCTATCTCATTTCAAAATGGCAAGAATTACAGTAGATCTGTACTTTCTCCGCTAAATTGTTCACTAAGTTCAGTTCAACGCCAGTTTTTTTACCATGAGGCACATAATACAGCTCCTACAATACAGTCTAATGAAAGTCACGTTTTGTTTTAGAAAAATGTTTTCATCTGTAGCCTTAAGTCAGTTTTCAGTTTTGTAATTAATTGCTCACCAATTATCAAAAACTACCGCCTAGTGAGGTAAATTTAAACGATACTTGCATGTTAATTTATTACGTCTTGAAATGTCTGTTCATAAAGTTCAGTCGCTTGATTTTGTTTTTGTTCTTTATTTTGATCCTGCCACAGACGATGCGCACTGAATATAATGCAAGACGGTTTTGCAAAACATAACTTTACAGTCAACAGCGACATTGCATACAGCGAATGCATGAACGGTTCAAAAAGGAATATATCGAGGATTTGTTATCCTTACGTGTCAGCACGCGTGCCCAAGTACCCCGAAGTTAATAAGCTGGCGGCTCCTCCGTGCTTCTGCTCCCCCACCGCGATCCTGCGTTAGATACCGGCAGCTTCAAGCTGGAGCTCCACTCGCCGGCGAAGTGATTAAAGCCTCCCTCCACACGCGCTTACACATATTTTACTGTCGCCTTTTTATCCCCCATCCTTACTTGATCGCTCGCTCCCTCTCTTTTCGCATCCCATCAGCTGGAGTGTCTCTAATCTTAACGCGAAATACGTGCCACCCAGTAAAACACGGCAGAAACGTGTGGACGCGGACGGGAGGGGGGCTTGGGGGTCCATTTACGATTCAGGGCACGGTGCACTAATTTTACATTAATATCACCGCATTTTAGAAGTCCATCCGCTGTCTCTGTCAGACCCAATATTCTTCTCCTTGGACTGTACTCAGATTGGTCATAAGAAGTTAGCTACATCATAGGCCTACATAACGTAAACTCGGGTTCAAATCGTTTGTGACATGTGCCATTTTTCTGAATAGTACTTTGTAAACTGTTAAACTATTACTTAAAGTAACAACTGCTTATACGCATAATTACCTAAGGAGCGACCACATTTACCTCTATACATAAATTATACACAAATATTGCCTGTTCGTGACTTGCTCCTTTTCAGACTAGATTAATCGTCGGCAAAGGTGTATATTGTATGCACAATTTATTTCTTATTGGGTATATATTTAGATACACAATATATCCACTTCCTTTACATTCTCTCCTATTTTAATGTAATGTCTGTTCCAATTGAAGGTTGTGGTGTGTCCTTTTTATTACAAATAAGAGATTTAATGACTGAGTGCCAGATGACAACAACGGAAAGATTATTGCTTTGGAAGTTATGATTTGAATGTATGTTTTGACATTGCTTATATTTTAACATTTCTAATGCCATTTCTGTTGTAATATTATTGCTTATGAGATCATTGTAGGTTTCCTAAACCAATTTTGACAGCTCATGTGCTCAACAGTACTTACCAATATAGGTTACAACACAAGCAGCCATGACGGACAATCAGTTGGTCTGTTTACAACTGTTGCAACTGAGCTACCTGCTTCCAGAATAATATAACGGCATCCGTTATCCATTTCTCTAATTAAAACAGAAGATTGACAGTTTTCATTCCTGGTTCATTTTCCATTCAGTGCTCATAATCCCAGGTGTATTATCAGAACATCTGGCTAATGTGATCACTTCTTGCCATTCACTGGACCAAAACTGATTAACCGCATAGCCTTAAAATATACATATGTCTATACATGACAATTGTTAAGATTATCGAGTTGCATTAGACACATATATTCATCCATCTTCTTTAACTGCTTGCACAGTGCAAGGTCACATTGATCACAGAGTCAATTGCAGGGAACAAACACAATTAATAATTTACAGATGCTGATTCACCAAACTACAAATATGGGGAGAAAACATGCAAAATCCACAAACTTGCAGCCATGATTAATTAATTATGTATTTATATGGCACTTTGGAATCTGTGAAATGAAAATTAAGTTTAGGCACCATCTTGGAAACTTTGTACTGGTTGGAATTGGCAATATTGGTTCTTTCGAGGGGTTATATAAAATTGAATTATTTTTCACAATTTCTGCCAAATTCTGCGGCCTTCTCCCTGCTCTGTGAGCCGTCCCACAGAGGCCTGTCAATACTGAAAATAATAAGAGCAGCATCTTTTCATCCTGTGAATTTGGGAAAACTCTGGCATAGTTTCCGTGCCCTTAAGGAACTTTATAGGGGAGTTCGATTTACACGTGGACTGACCTGAGGCAAAGAGAGCTGTGAGGCTTCTGAGGCTCGCTTCCTGGTGTTTGGCTGTCTGGGACGAGCCCTACGCATACCGAGATGCACCCAGCGGTAGTGTGTGTCCTCCTGATTCACGCTACGGAGTGCAGAGTGACACGCAGGACAGAAGAGTGCCAAAGCAGAGAGAATCTCTCAGCTCCGCTGTGAAACTCCAACATTCAGGTAGTAATGAAAAGGGTTTGACTGAAAACATGATCTGGCCCGGCAGAAGTCAAGAAGACAAGCAGACACGCTCTGAGTGCTTCTGTGAAACTTACAGCCTGAGCCACATGCTCTTCTTAACATCAGATTTTTCTTTGTGATACAATTAAAAATTTTTGGTCTGTGGTCCTCGTCCTGTCCAGAGTGCAATCCCTTGAATTGTGTCCTGTGCTATCTGCTCGATGAGCAATTAAATACTGAGCAATACTACTTATGTCTATTTATGTACTACAGAATGTAATACAACGATTTCTTTGACATTCTCAGCATTGTTGTAGTTTATTGTAGCTAATTATTTGTTTATACTGCCTATGACTGTCAAAATGTCTTTTTTATGCTCTAAATGTGAGTGGTGTTTCTGTAAACCTTCAGTTTCCTTCGAGACTGAGAATGTACCCAAGAGTGTAGGAAACGCTACACTTATGGAAGATGGGTGGACAGTCTGTGGTTTTCTTCAGGAAATTTGAAATGTTATTTCAAAATTTTGCAAGTGAATGCCCCCACATTCTCAACACCAGCTTTGATTTGTTATTTGTAAAATTCACAGAAAAACCATAGCAGTTGTTAAATTGTACTTAGTTTCATATGTTAGGAAGGAGCATGCCCTTTCTTAGTTATTCTTGGTGAGAAGCTTTGGCAGCTTGATGGATGCATGTTTAATACAAAGTCATGGCAAAAGCAACCACCAGCAAATGATTAGTTATTCATGTCTATCAGAGCCCGAAGTTTGTCTAATGAGGCGTGTAGCTCTGAAGGGGACACGTATGTTGGTTAAGGCTGCCCAGCACTGATCAATGCACCGGGAAAGAACGATAACCAGGTGAATATTACTCAGAGAAGGTGATTTCCTGGAGGGACGGCAAAGCTTCCTCATGCGAGATATTGTCTCATGGCCCTTCCTTTCATTTATACAACTTCACTGTCTGCCCTTTACTTTTAACACATATCTCGCACTTCTTTGTATGCATATATATATATAAACCTGAATCCCTTTTCCTTTCAAGTTTCTGTAAGAGTAAGATTCAGAAAAGGATCAGAATATGAAGAATTTGTTTCTAACTTACATCAGTAAGCCGCAATCCTCCAGGGAGCCATAGGAATGGCCTCCTTGTCTTCTCCTGTTGCAACATAGTGTGTATGCACACACACACACACACACACACACGCACACACACACACACACACACACACACAAACACACACGCGCACTCAAGCCCATCGCCGATGATTAATTTCGTATAGAGAGTGAACAGTTTTTATACTGAAAGGTCAGACTATGGTTCTTGATAAAGGCTCTTATCTCGTAATGGAGTATATTGTTGTTGTTTTTCCAAAAACTGTTTGCGCCTAACAATGGACATAAATAATTTACTGAACTCCCAAAACGTGGTTATTATTATTATTATTATTATTATCATCAATGGTAGTAGTAACAGTAGTATTATTATAATTAGCAATAGTATTGGAAATTAGTATTATTGTTGTCATTGTTATTACTGCACCTAACTTTTCCCACCAGTGTTAAGAATGTACAACAAACAACATACTATACTGTACACCATCATACAGAAAAACAACAGATGAGTCAACGTCACGCATTTGCCCTGACAGTCATAGTGTTAAATAAAGGGGGCAGAGATTCCGATGCAGGCATGCAGCAGGTCCAATGCAGGCATGCAGCAGGTCCAATGCAGGCATGCAGCAGGCCCAATGCAGGCATGCAGCAGGTCCAATGCAGGCATGCAGCAGGTCCAATGCAGGCAAGCAGCAGGTCCAATGCAGGCATGCAGCAGGTAAATCTGTGTGAAGCCGACAGCCTGTATGAAGCTGCTTGTTTGGAGGGGAAAAAAAACATTTTTTCACCCATATTTAATGTTTTTTACACTAAGCATATAGGAATGTATTACAGTCTTAGGTTGCAAAATAAAATGTTTACCGTCAATTATCATTACTAAACCTATATTTGCTCACAAAAAATACAATTTAATATTTTAATTAATGCAAATGAATGGAAACGCAATAAAAAACAACAGGAATTTCTTATGTTCTCCGAAAATGTACCGATATTTTGGATAGCTTGAAGAACATTTTTTCTGCTCTCAAACCTCCCCTCAGGGGTACCCCAGCCATTCCATATACTCGCAAAATTTTTAAATAAATTTTGAAATTGATAAAAGAGTGTAATGGAATAAATAAGAAAAACGTATTTCTCTGGAGAACTTTGGTTTGTTGGGGGATGGGTTCGTCAGTTTCCAGAAATAAACGATATATTTTCAAGCTACTGGGGAAAAAAATATTAAATGTGGTCTGCTGATTGATCTCCCAGCACAGCCCCACCCCCCCCCCCCCCCCCCCCCCCCCCCCCCC